TGTTCTCTATCAAGATTATGTCATCAACATAAACAAGTAAATACGAAATGGTCGGTTCCTTACGAAGGACAAACAGGGATGTGTCGGCTTGACTACATTTAAAACCAAGACAAGTAACAAAATCATTGAACCGTTGAAACCATACACGATGTGCTTATTTTAGACCATACATGGCTTTCCGAAGACGACATACATGGTTTGGATAGGAACTATCAACGTATCCCAGTGGTTGCTCAATGAAAATTGTTTCAGACAGAACACCATTGAGAAATGCATTTTTACGTCCAATTGATTTAGAGGAAGGAGTGGTAGATGATGAAGTTGGTGTCGCAGGGGCCATGGGGATCGATTAGGTTTTTTAGGATAAAACCCAAGGGTCGTTTGATACCATATGAGGATAATAATATGTGCCTCAACTGAAGGCATGAGACTTTGTATATATACATAATTGTACAAGGAGGTAAGAAATACAGAGATTACAAAAGATATGTACAAGAGTAATAAATTAGGAAACAAATAATATAATCTTTTAGAGGATTTGTAGTATCATTGCTATTATCCTTTATATATATATATATATAATATATATATAATATATTATATATATATATATATATATATATATATATATAATATATATATATATAATATATATTATATATATATATATATATGGAGTGGTTCAAATGAGAACCATAAAATGTTAAGAACCCTAAGAATCTCAATTAATTAGTAAATATTTACACGATACTCTTATTAAACATGTTAAAATCCTAATTTTTGTGTTTTTGTATGAAAATAGCAAACTTATAATTTTTACAGTCTATATTTTCATTCGTATATGTTCTCATATTTTAATACAAAACTTTTATAAAATATAGATTTACACAGTCCATTTACAGTTTAATGCAAAAAATTCACAACTTAATACAAACAGTGTTACAATAATTCACTAATTCAAAGAAGTCAAAAACTCAAACTCTACCACCATATGTTGCCACCATCCACCTGTATCAACAAAGTAGCCGTCATTTCTAGTAAATCAAATCTGTAAATAAAGTCATGTATTAACAACTTAAATACTACACTCACAGTCTAATAAAGCCTATTAATTCACTCGTTTTGAATTTAATGCAAAAGAATTATAAAAACTAGTGGATTCTTACAAATTTATGTAACAAAAAATTAATATATTCATAAGAAAATTAACACAAAATTTTATACATAAATCATTCATATTTTAACACAAATTATAAAAAAAATTCACAATAAAATGCAGTCAAATCACAGTTTAAACAGAAAATCCATAGTTTAATGCAATCAATTCAAATTTTTAAAGACACAAATCACAGTTTAATATAGTCAATTTCACAATTTAAATAAATATTCACAACTTAATGTGATTAATTCAAAGTTTAAAATACAAAAAACATAGCTTTATACGTAAATTTCACCGTTTATTACAATAAATTTATAGTTTAATACAAAAAATATAAATTCATAACAATAATATCAATTTAAAACTCTTAATACAAACAATTCACAGTTTAATATACAAAATTCACAGCTTAATATAATAAATTTACAACTTAAGACAAAAAAAAAATTTGTAGTAATATTTTCAAATTAAAGATTGTATTTAGACGTTAATATATGAAGACATTTATATGTGTTAAATTGTGAATTTGATATATTTAGTCGTGAATAAAATTTACAACGTAATACACAATTCACAGTTTAGTATACAAAATCCATCAGATACATTGTGTGCACCACATTCACAGTTTAATAGAGCTTTTCAGAACTCTCATTCACAGTTTAATAATCAGTTTAGGACTCTCATTCATTGTATTTATAACATAAAACATATTAATTCACACATTCACAGTAACCAATTTAAATAAA